GTGCAAGAGAAACATTGATTGATTTGCCTCTTGCCCACCCCCAACCAGGGACCTTGCCCACAACCCAGGCATGTGTCCTGACCAAGAATCAAACTGGTGACCCTCTGCACTATGGAATGACACTCACCTCACTAAGCCATGCTGGTCAGGGCACAGATGTGATTTTATAAATTTTACGTAATGTAAATCATTTGGAATACTGCATAATTCAGTGGACTAACATTTTCCAAATAACCAATATGGAGTCACACATGGGTAAACGATCTATTCAAAGTCCAAGGTAGACATTAAGTTTAACATTGTAGAAAAGTTCAGAGATGAGGTTTCAGATTTTACGTTGCAACTAATCTTTAAGGAGCTATGGCTTGTGGAGTTTCAGTGTAACATCAAAGAATATCCATGATTATTTGAAAAGCCTATTCAAATAGATCTCCCTTTTCAAACACTTATCTATATAAGGCTTGATATTCTTCCTATACTTCAAACCACCATAGTGCTCCAGATGGAATGCAGAAGTAGAAATGAGAATTCAGCTGTCTTCTATCAAGGCAGGCATCAAAGATGTGCAAAAATATAAAACAATGTCAGCCACTCTATTCAGTAACTTTATTTGTTTTGGAAAATAGTTATTTTTCATAAAAAAAACATGTTATTTATGTTAATCTAAAATGGGTTCACTATTGTCATTTTAAAATTAATTAGTAGGCATATATACCTAAAATTTCTCACTTTTAATTTCTAATGTGGTAAATACTGGTAAATATATCCCACAGAAACAAAGACTGTGATATCTTCATAATTTATGGGTGTGTAAAGAGGTTCTGAGACCAAAATGTTTGAGAATTGCCGCCTTAAGAACAGTTTGAAAACTTCCTTTGAGCAGTTCTAGCTTGAAACAAAGATGGATAAACCCTGACATATTTTTTTCCTAATCCTCTTCCCCTTTTATCTGCTAGACCCCAAGTCCAACAATTGCTAAATGCCTTTGATTTATTGCATATAAATTTGCACTCCTGCCATGCTTTGGTAAGCAAAGAATTTAGTCTCCTTGATTAGATTTTCAGATTTGCTGGCTTCCAGAATGTGGTTTGGCAAAGAGCCAGGTTGCTTACCTGGGTAGCACGTTCACAAACCAGCTCACAGAAAGAGATGGCCTCACTGAAGTGTCAGCTTCTGGGTTCTGCCAACTTCAGAAGACAAGCTATGAGATGGACATTATGATTTCTATTTTGTAGATAAGGAGGACAGGGTTAGATAGCTGTTATATAGCAGAGGAGGGATGAAATCCAGGCCACAGTGGCTCCAAATTAATCCAAAGATTAATACTTCGGAGAATCTGGATTGTGTCAAGAGCTTTATGATGGTACTTTATCCATGTGGAGATGAAAACATATCAAATAAGTCTTTACAATCATCTCAGGCCAATGATTCTCAAAGTGTGGTCCCTGGACCAGTAGCATCAACATCCCTGGGGAGTTGTTAAAAACACAGATTCTCAGGCCCCAATCCAGAACTGCTGAGGAAAAAGCTTTGGGGGAAGCCAGGAAGCCAACACAAAGGGCAGAACAACTAAACAGCTGCTAGGGTTGACAATTTGAAAGGTACTAAAATGTCACAGAAATAAAAAAAAATATTGTGTCAGTTAACTCAGATCTACTTTTCTCTGGGGAAAGCAAATTGGTCTCTTAATTCCATGTAGCTAATAAATTCCTTGTTATGAATTTGAGCATGTGACAGGAAAATAACATTTGTTTTGTATGATGTTCTACTTCGTTCTAAGAAAGGCTGATCCTGATAACCAGAAAAGTTTGTTGCTTGCTAAACACAAGTTTTTCACCATTTGGCCTTTTACTTCCCTATTCTGCCTTTGATGCCTAAAGGGTAAGCAGTATAGTACAGACCTCTGAAACATCTTTTTATGGATTATCTTAGATCAAATTCCCTTGAAACAGAGCCTGAGATGGGGATTCTTGTGCAAATAATTTACTGAGGAAGCACTCTCAGGAGAAGGGAGCAAGGGAAGCAGGCTAACAGCAGGGAAAGCTAATCAAGGATGTGGTTTCAAACAGATACTAGCTTTTGCCTGATCCCATGGGGAGCTCTGATGAATGAATTTCACCACACAGTTGGTCTAGAAGGAAGGGAGCCAAGTTTTGTTATACCTCTCTATCTTTCATTGACTGTGAACTTCTGGTGGTGGGATAAGAGTGAGAGCCTTTTGGGCTAAGTGATTTGTGGTGGCTGAGGGTAGCTCTTTAGAAAAAGCGGGGTCTGGGAGCCATTAGCAGCTAACTCTGACAGCCACTGCGGGGATGTACTAAGCCAGGTAAAAGGGATCTGGATGGGGTACCAACAGCATCTACTACATGGATGGTTTTTTAAATCTCCGTTCATATCCCTGGATATCTATACCCATCCCTGCCTCAGGGGTGAACTCTCCTCTCTATCCTTTGGCCCCACAGAACCATAGTCCTAAACCAGGCAACTTCCTATTCCTCACTCACCATATGACATAAATCAAATCATGTTCTTACATTTGTAGGAATCCAGAGAGTTTGCAGAGAGGTGTTGAATAGATGCATTATCCCTCCCTATAGAATACTTTTCTGTCCTAGGAACATTTTGTTGTTATTCCTTATTTTCTTCTTTTGTAAAATGAATGGTGTTCTGGATTTTTTCTAAATGTTATTCTGGTTTAAAAATTCATTTGCCTGTCAGTTGTGCTTGCATTTCCTCTGGGAGTGAGTTAAACAAAAACATTAATTAGAAACTGAGTCTGGCTGCCCCTGGCCAGTGGCTCAGTTTGTTAAGAGCATTGTCCTCTACACCAAAATGTTTCAGGTTCGATTCCTGGTCAGGGCATATACCTAGTTTGCAGGTTTGATTCCTGGTGAAGGCATGTACAACAAGCAATAAAGTGATCTCTCTCCCTCTCTCTCTCTCTCTCTCTCTTTTTCTCTAAAATCAATTTAAAATATCCTTGGGTGAGGGTTTAAAAAAATAAACAGAGTCTGGTGTCGTTAATATAAGTCAGACACTATTAAAACTGTAAAAAGATTTAGTCCAGCCCTGGCTGATGTGATTCAGTGGACTGAGTGCAGGCCTGTGAACCAAAAGGTCGCTGGTTGGATTCCCAGGCAGGGCACATGCCTAGGTTGCAGGCCAGGTACCCAGTAGGGGCATGCAAGAGGCAACCACACACTGATGTTTCTCTCCCTCCCTTCCTTTCAAAAATTATACTAAGCGAAATAAGCCAGGGGGCAAAAGACAAATACCATATGATGTCACCTATAAGCGTAACCTAACCAACAGAACAAAGACGCAAGGAAAATAAGACCAGCAACACTGAAAGAAAAAAGAAACCAACAGAGACAAGAGGGAAGGAGGGAGGGGTGGGCGGGGGAAAAGGAAGGAAAGGGTCAACTTATAGCAAGGACTCATGGACAAAGCCAAAGTGGGGAAGGATTGAGGGAGGGAGAGGGGGGAGGGGGACAGGGGAAAGTGGTGGGGGGAAGGCGGAGACAAATGTATTTGAAAAATTAAATTAATTAATTTAAAAATAAGTAAGTAAATAAATAAAATCTTTAACAAAAAGATTTAGTCTATATCAGGGAATTCACTTGCATATGTTCTGACCAAGATTCTTTTATCAATACTTGATATTAAATTTTCTGGACAATTATTAGGGATGAATTTCTTTAAAATACTAAAGAATTGCAGGGTTGATCTCAAATTCCTATTTCAATGATCAGTGTCATGTTTTTGCCACATACAGGTGGACAGACAGTCTCATTTCCATCATGGAGTCTTAATGAAACTGTGGCAGAAACTGAAGCAAGACACCAAAACCATCACTGAAGTGTCCCTATGTGTCTCATTTTAATCAAGCACAAGGTGACATTAAAAAATTCCTGATGTAAATAGTTGATAGTAGAGCCAGCCCTACCAGATACTAGCCTTTTGGGTGATTTAAAACAAAGCCCCTATTGAAATTTGGTCTGAAAATTGTTCCCTCTTGGTGGACAACTTACAAAAATGTCACTCCTTCCTCCTGGCTATAAGGCCTGTAAGGGGACACCAGACTTGGTAACTGAAGTACAGACCGGGTGTCAACCCTTACATTTTTCACCTGAGACCTTTACACAGAGTACAACTTGCATGTCAGTATATAGTGTTCCTTGTTGTAGGAGTCTGATCATTGTGACTTGACAGGTTTTTAATTCTTTGATATGACTTTTCTTGTTTGTCAAAACACATTAATCCTACAAAATTGCTGAGTGGTACCATATCTGAAGACATGTCTCAACCATCTCCATAATCTAAACATTGATGAGAGCTTCCAAGACAAAAAGGCCCAAAACAGAATGTGTTATGGTTACCCTCTCCATATGTATTCATCAGTCATTTTTATGACATGAGAAGACTTGCCTTGGAACTTTCACATTGGACCAAGGACGCCTGCCATTTTAACTAAGGTTCTAGTGTTGCTTGCATATGAGGTCTAATGTGGCATTGCCAAGCTAATTTGTGCAGATCTTTCTGCCTGGGGATCTTACAATTGTCAAATCACTAGTACAATATCCATTAGAAATATTTGACATTGAATAATTTTACTAAAGTTCCTGGGAACTTATCACTGAAACAAACAGATGATTCTTCCCTGACATTGAAATCAATGCAATATAATCAGTTGATGTTTTTACTTCCAATGTTACAATGGAAAAAGTCTGGAAGCAAGGAACTCTTTGGCTAGTTATATTAATAAAATGGATAGGATCTATTGCATACACCAGGGACCAAGCATTATTGCTGGGATTTTTGTTGATCTTTGTTATTGCAGTAGTTACATAGGAAAGAGAATGAGGGAGGACAGAGTATAAAGAAACAAGAGATAAAAAATAGTTTGGGGAAAAGTTAGGCTTAATTCCTTCCCTGTTTTCTTTATTCCTGATAATATAAATAATGTCTTCTTAAGATGAAAAATAAAGAGAGCAAACACATTTTTACAGATTTGAGTTGAGAAATATATTAAATTTTGTATACATGATAAAGAAAGATTTAGGACTTTTTGAGGTAAAGTGACTATATGTTACCAAGAAAATGATTATAAGTTCTTTCTTATTGAGGGGTGGAAATTAAACTTCCACTTGGTTCAAAGAATAACTAATAAAAACATGACAGCTCATTACCATGAGGAACCACTTAGAAAGTGGAAGGATACTCAGGATTTTGTCCTTTACATGTAGGCAGTTTCAGGGAGAGGCTCAACAATCCACATGATACCTTCTGCTTAATTCATTCCTATGCCCTCTGCTGAAAGAATATAGTCCATTAAACTCCCCTCTTTCTTAAGTGGTCCTTATAAACTACCACAGACGCAAAAATCACCTTTGATATTTACCAGAGAAAATGATTTTTCCCCTGTAACATTATGAGCCTTTTTCCCTACAAAATGTGTTATTGCATCTTCATTGCAAGTCTAATTTGTAATTCATCTCTTACTTACTCATTTTTAAGTCATAGATATCTGCTGAAAAATATCAGTCGACAAGCCTGAAAACATTCTTCTAATGGGGGAGGTAGAATGTACAGGTAATTACTTTTTTTGTCCTCTGGAAAATACATTATTTTTAAAGTTCCAATTATGTTATTTAAATTTTAACTAAAAATTTTCAAATTATATCATAATAATTCAACATTTCATATTTTAATCACTTACAAGAGACACTAGCTTTAATTACATTATAATAATCCAGTATGCAAATTTTATTATCCTGAAGAAAAACTGGAGGAAGGTTGGGCTACAATATAGCAAGTAGTGGATTTATGAAAATATCTAGTGTGTAGTGTGAGTAGATGCATGATAAGCACAAACACGAAAAAATTAAATTCTCCTGCTGAAGAATTTGAACCTATAAAAATGTTACTCTCTAATGGCTCGTACATTGCTAGCTAGGTATCCATGGTTTTACCACTCTTCACAAATGTTTCCTTAGTGTTGTAACATTAAGTATTCATTACAGAAAAGAGATGTGTGCTCTAGAAGGACCATCCTTCCCACAAGTGACTGGAAAAAGCTCCAGAGTTTAGGCATAGTTATAGCTGTTTTCTAAGAATTTCATCACTTGCCTCCATAAGCGAAAGTCTGTCTACCTCATTTGCCTGAAAATTGCGATATATCAGTAAGATGAATCATTTGGTTTCTTTGTTGGTCCTGGGGAATATGAACACAGCCCACAGATCTACTAGCAGCTGACTCTCTGGTAAATGTTTACTTAGAGATTTGTGTGGGTAATAATTTATTAAGGTAATAAGCATAGATTACAGTTAATGGCTTAGACATTACATATTCTGAACATAGTATTTTATGTTTAGTTGAGGTAAATATATATGATTATTAATATGATGACAAAATGTAACTCAGAAATTGCAAATTAGTTAAAATCAAGTCAAGGCATGTATTACAAGGCATCAATATTTAAATTAAGGACTTTAAGAAAGTTTCACAATGGCAAAGCAACATCATATTGTTCACCTATACCATGTATCAAGATTTGTTTATTTCTCTTATATTCTCTTCTCCTTCCCCCAAAAACTGACTCATTCTGTTACTGGAAAACATCGTTTCTCCCTTGACAAGCATCACAGCATTAAAACTTTGGCTTCTGGAGCTGAGGTGAATAATCTGTCAGCAGGGATACCATGACAGCCTAGGATGACACAACAAAGAAAGAGAAAAAAGAAATGGAAATTAGCAAGAGTCTGCTTAAGGACTTAAGAGGAAGTGGGTTGTAGCTTTGAAGGCATTTGGTAAAATATATTTTCCCAAGGAAATGACAAGGTGACAATTTCTATCTAATATTGATTTTTACTTAGATAAAGGAAGATCAGGAGGAATCAGACTGACACAAACATATGCACAGACATATGCTTACTTAGGCCTCATTCCAGGACTAGTTGAAATGATATATCATGGTGGTAGTGATGATTAGATTTTCCAGTCATAAGTGAAACCTAGGTATTGGCTGGTTTTAGAGAAATATAATCCCTCTCATTTTCATGTTTATACTGTGGTTTGGTCACTTGTAACCTAAATTAGATGTAGAATAATACAAGTAAATCATCTGGAATAACAAATAATGTCTATCTGAATCTGATTACTCATGAGAAAATATTTATAACCAAGAGTACAACTTCCCATTAGGCTGTCAGCCACAAATGGTAATTATCACTTTCACGCTTCCCAGCTTCCACAATAATGGTAATAGTATTAATATCAAACAGTGATGACAAATGTTTATTGAGTGTTACATGCCAGACGAAGTGCCTTATCATGTGTTAGTGGGTTAAGAGATATTTGCCAAGCTCTATGCTAGGTGGTGTGGTGCACTAGAGAGAAATATTTATGCGTTATCTCATTTAATACAGCAACCTTCTATGGTAGCTTCCATTACTATCATTTATAGATGAACTCTGTCCTGGTAATGACAGCTAATACAGAACTGGGTTGGGACCCGTATTTTTCTGACTCCATTCTTTTTTTTAATTGTTGTTCAATTACAGCTGTCCCCATTATTCCCCCACTGCTCTCCCCTGCCCCACCCATCCCCACCTCCACCCTCAATCCTACCCCTCTTTGGTTTGTCCATAGGTCCTTTATACAGGTTCCTTGACACCACTCTCAAGTGATAGTTTTACTACTTTTCAGGTCTGTGCTCTTCCCTTTCCACCGTTTTCCATATGTGTCCCCAGTCTGTATCAGAAATGCAGGTCTTATATTTAAAAGGTATTCATTGAGTATATTTACTGAGCAGTTACCAAATGCCGGGCCCTGTGCTGAGTGATTTATGTGTACCCTAACATTTAATACCCTTTCCAACCGGGTGAGGCGGTAAGGGACATAAAATACAAATGAGGGAACTGAGGCATAGGCATTTTCCTGAGTGGCAGTAGTAAGGGATGGATCTGCATCTGCCTGTGCCTTGACCTTGACCACTCTGCTCAAATGAATCCTAACTTATTTAATCCTTGCAATTTTATGAAGTTGTTTCTATTTTAATCCCTATTTTTATATGAATAAACTGGGCTTTGAGAAATTATAGTACTTGATCAAGATTACACAGAGAGCCAGGATTTTAACCTTATTTTCAAAGCCTGTGTTGTAGAACAAGTACTATATATTGCCTTGAGGCTACAAAAATGTATTGAGCACATATTTAGGGTATTTGTTAGGCACCATTCTATATATAACAAAGAACATTACAGCCAAAATCAATGCTTTGATGCAATTTTCATTATATGGAGTGGGGGTGGGGAGGGATAAGCAACAAATAAATATCAGGTAGTATTAAATGTCATTAGAAAATAAAATAAAAATGGTATAAAGGGGCCTAGGGAACCACTTAAGAGTGGATGGCCAGGGAAGACCTTGTTAAAGGAATGACATTTAAGTTAAGATCTAAATGACAAGAAGAAAGTAGAAAGGCCAGACTCTGGGATAAAAACATCTTGCAGGTAAAACATTTTTAGCCTTTTTATAGGTTCCTGGGACCATATTTCAGGCTTGGTTTTGTTCTCAATTGCTATTACATGTGTGAAATTTATTTTCAAAAGTAAAATCTTAGAAATTCAACTTGAAGTAGAGTTTCTAGATTTAACTAAACAAAATAAAAATAGACAGACAATTAAACTGGCATTTTGGAAAAACAACAATTTTTTATCTATAAATATGTTCCAAATGTGGCATAAGACATTGGCTATACTAAAAAATTATTTATCTAAAATTTCATTTTAACTGGGTGTCCTGTGTTTTATCTGGCACCACTAATATGGAGACAAGTAAGAGACTATAAAATACTGTAATTATATTTGCAATAGTGTTGTGTATCTGAGTGTGAGCCTGATAGCAGTGCTTTGAAGTGTCAGCTTTTTGTGGGGTCCCTTTAAGTTACTTTAGCTCCACAGTAAAATTGGCAGGCACAGGAAGAAACCCTCCTGATTTTATGAGTCATACAGCCTTACTAATTATTAAAAAATACAAAAGCAAGTTTTTGGTGGAGGAAAGGGTGTATTTTTTTAAAAAAGGGATCCAAAGGCTTGTGCATTATGGAGAGAATAATGTGATTACAAGAGTATTCTGAACAACGCTGCTGGAAATCACCCAGCACAGAGGCCTTAAAAAGCTACTCTGAGTGCTAAAAGAGAACACTTTTACTTTTTAAAAGTTATATGCTTTCAGAACAAGTCCTTCACCCTATTTAGTTATATACCTTATTATATACCAGTCATTATGAGCATTTCAGAACTTGAAGGTAAGTTCTATCTTTCCTTCCTCCTTTCATCCTCATTTTAGATGGAACTGTGTGGAAATCATTCTCTAGACTGTAGTACTGTTCACTAGAACTTTCTGCAATGATAGAAATGTTCTGTCTGTGCTGGCAAATACAAATAGTATAGCCAAGAGCCATACTTGGCTGTTGAGCCCTAAAAATGTGGTTAGTATGTCTGAGGAATTGAAACTTAAATGTTATTATATTTTAACTAATAGAAGTTTAACTCTAAAGAGCCACATGCACCTAGTAGCTACTGTATTGGATAAGAAAATTCTAGAAGAAAACAAGCATTGTGCCTTTAGAATATCCCAGAAAAATCTAACAAAAAGTGCTGAGCCTAAATGCCACTCTAAATAAGCTAAGAAGAATTTCTTTGCCTATAAAATAAGAATTTAGACTCTACAGTCTCTAAAGTTTTATCCCACTTGAAAATACTATGCTTTTATGAACTGTACAGTCTGCAGGGACTCCACAATATTCATTTTGTAATCTCCAATGCCTGACAGAGGATCTGGCACACAGCAGGTGTTCAGTATATGGTTGCTGAAGTGAGCTTAACTCAATGGGACATCCAAATTATCTAGCTTAGAGATATAAAGAGTGCAGCATGTATGTCATCACCATCTTTCCAGAATCCATGTCGGGTATCATTACTCAGCTACACCACTCTTTCTTTACAAAACCACAGGCAAGCTTAGGACCTTCTGATATAGTACTCCAAGTAGCCTATTGATGATATTGAGGACCTAAGATTAAAACTCATTTGCCATCTATAGAGCTTGATATGCATATTTTATATATGAAGAACTGGAACCTAGAGAGGTAATACTTGTCTATGATGACACAGCTGACTAGTATTAAAGACAGTTATGGAATTCAAGTCTTCTCACTCCCAGTTAAGCATTCTTTGTATTTTAGACTCTCCACCTTCATTTTAACATAGCTTTGCTTTTTGTTTAAAATATAATTTCCCCTAATAACAGTGGGTACCTCAGGAAGTTGAAGGATGGAGAGATAGTGCTAGACCATAGAAGGATGGAAAATAGGTGGGCATAAGATTTCATTGTATGTATGTCTGTATATATACATACATATTTATATACTTATATTTATTCTTATAAACATGTCAACCATGTGAATATATTATATATTTAATTTTTAAGGTAAATTCAAAGATGTTTTTAAATAAGCTCTTTAAAAATTGAGAAAGTGCAGAGCTTCTCCATAAATGATATTTTAGAAAGCTTTCTTTCAGTTTCCTCTCTGTCTGTCCAAATTTCTAAAAGGAAATATTTTAACAGATTTAGGTTGATTTATTTTTGTAACTCCAATCATACTCTGATAAAGACTAGAGCTGGAGGAAAGTACTTTTGCTATGTTGCTTCCTGAGGTATATGGTTGGACAGCTCACATTTTTTTTCCAAGAATTTGCTGAGTAGTCATGTTGCCTGAATGGTGATCAAAGTATAATTTTTCTTTCTTCATTTTTTACAAATATTCTCTGTGGATGCTTGCTATTGTCTGTTTGTCTGGTTTATGGTGATTCTACTTTTTATGTTCTGTTGTTTGCCCATGCATTTTCTTTTTATTCATCTGGATCTTTGCTCCTCAAATGTGGTCCACAGGAAAGCAGTATCTGCATTACCTAGGTGCTTGTTAGAAATGCTAAACTTTGGCCCCCATCTCAGACTCACTGAATCCAAACTTGTACTTTAACAAGATCTGTAGGTGATTCAAATGGACATTAAAGTTTCAGAAGCACTGGCCTATGTGACATGGCAATTGCCATCTAGCCACAGTTAGCACCCTGAAGTGGCAAGCTAGAAGGTACAGTAAAAAAAAAAAATCATCCTTCATATTAAATATGACAAATTTAGGCCTGATATACAACTTTCCATTGCAAAGGCAGTCATTATTGGCTTCCAAACAGACATAGTGGAGCTTGAATTTCTGCTGGTCACTGTATTTGGTCAACAATGAAAACGCTGATGGTGATAATTATAACAACAGTATTTACAGTGTCTTAGGTGCCATACTAAGTGTTTTACATGTATTATTTTAATGCTCGCAGTAACTTTATCAATCCTCATTTATAGAATAGCTAAATAATTAGCAGATAGTGCTTGTCACCTTGTTTTTCACTACCCCAGAGGTTTTAAAGCTCTAAACTACATTTCCCAGACTACCCAGCAGCTAGGATGCACACATACCACTTAGCTGCATCTACTCAAGACTTGGAGCCATGAGGGAATTAAACGCAGTGGAAGCCATTCGCTGGAATGTTGAGTCTTCTGCTGTATATGCAGGTAGAGGTATCTAGTTCAGTTGGAACAACTATAATGTAGTAGCTAGCATTTAGTTTCAAAGGCCTTAGTTACCAGCTTATGGGTCGTTGTGTCAGTGGTGTTTTGGCTACAAAAATCTACAGTGTTGTTGGGCAATTTTCCTGCCGTGTTGTTTCTGAATGTGTGGTATCCAAGAATGACTTGCTACACCCTCTTTCCTGAGATAATCTGGGAGCTGCTTAATGTCTTTCAATAGATTTCTTTCCCTTTCTCTACCTAGAGTAGACTCTATTGTTTGCCAGTAAAACCTGGCTAATATAGTAATTGCAATCAGTTAAATGACTAAAAGCCAAAAACAAAAAATGATGCTACTAAATTATTGCACTTGAGTATTCAGTTTTCCAGAAAAGAAAGTGACATTTGGGATACTGTAAAGCAGATATCTGATATTAATATTTCCCAGAACAGCGGTGATGAAGATGAAATTAGCAGCATTATGTTAAAGCTACCAATAATTTTTGTTAGTTTTGCTGCAATTCTGGAAATGTTCCATACCTAAAAACAAATGTGTCTGTGTGGCCAAAGTCAAGTGGACAAACAAAACAATTATCTAGGAAAGTTATGAAAGGAAGGAAGACAGGAGGAAGGAAATAAGATTACTTTAAATGCTTATTTTGTAGCAGGCACTAAATAAGGGCCTCTAAAAACATTAACAAGGAGATTGTAAAATAAGAATTGTACAACTTGTAACGGTTGGCAGGCAATGGTGGCTGGTGCTCAGACTAATCAAAAGGAGTAATAATTTCCATTAAAATAGATAATTTTGGAGTGGGATTGGTTTTACTCAAAATGCACTGTAAATGATAATAAGCAGTAATAATCAATTATGAGCTTTCTGGAAAGAAATAGATGCTGTATAAGCAAGTAAAGTAGGTGGATAATCTCAGTCGCTGATTGTTTGCCAAAAGGCATGAATGACCTACTTAGGGTCACCGAGAGAACTCCTTATTCTCCATTCCCCATTTCTTGCTTACCATGATTGTCCACTTTCTGTTTTCAGCCTCTGGGAATACTAGTGATCGTGGAGAATAAAACACTTCATCATCCACTTCTTCTGGCTTTCTGGGCAAGCAGTGTAAAAATGTCCAGTCAGAGGCAGCAACTTTAGCAGTCTAAGGAAGAGATGGGAATAAGACCTTGTTTTGACTATTATGTGTGACTATCACATTTGTTTTCTTTAATATTTAACAGCACATATGGCCTGGAGTCAGAGATCATTGCAAAGGGAGAGACGAAGGAGCATGCAAGGTGATGAAGAAGGGTATGAGCTCAAGGCACCCAGGGGAAATATATATGGTACTTTCAACTTTTGAAAATTTATTGTCATTTTTTTTTATTTGGGAGATTGTCACTCCAAATCAACTCAGTTTTCTGGGATTCTTTCTAGGGGAATAGTGGACATTTCCATGAAGAACTCTACTAGTATAATATGTGGCTGATAGCAAAAGTTACCAATTATACCCCAAAATATTTTAGAAGTTGCTTTTATGTGACTGTGTTGTATTTTGAGCTTATTTCCCAATTCTGCTTTTTAGCACTTGAAGCATACTTTATCACTAGTTAAAACAATTTTGAAAAAGAGCACTGAGATAGGAGTACATTAAACAGGGTTATGGGCACTGTACTAGATGTTTCATTCTTAATGCAAATATTCTAACAGTTTTAATTTTCTACAACAGTTAATTACTGAAAGTTACATTTTCCATCCATTTCATTGTTCACTTACAGATTCAAAACTACATACATTCCTTCATAATTTCTTACCTAAAAATTACTGCCTTTGTACTTAAAATTTGTTTTACCTCCCACTCTAGGTCTAGGTTCAGAACCTTCTGAGTTTCTAAATACTGGAAAAGTGACAAGGGAAAAGAATAACATTTGAACCTGTCATACATCAGTTCGGTTAATGCTTTTCATATCTAGAGTTCCAGCAACAGAACAATGTCTAAGTTTGTCAAGTTAAGTACTGGGTAAACCACAGAGATTTAAAAATTCTCCATGGATATAGAGAACAGACTGACAGCTGTCAGAGGGGAGGTGGTAGAGGGGGCTGGGTGAGAAAGGTGAACGTATTAAGAAAAAAACCCTAATAGACAACAATATAATGATTACCAAAAGGAAAGGAGGGATGGGGCAGGGGAGGTAGGAGAGGATAAAGGGACGGGATAAATGGGGATGGAAGGAGACTTGACTTGGGGGTGGTGAACAGACAATGCAATATATAGGTGATGTATTATAGAGTTGTACACCTGAAACCTATATAATTTTATTAAACAATGTTACTCCAATAAATTCAATTTTTAAAAAGATAAAAATAAAAATTCTCCATAAAAATGTTTGCCACATACATAACAAAGGATTGGCCATAATGTATAAATAACTCCTGTAACCAAGGATAAAAGGAAAAAAAAAACAATAGAAAATGGGCAAAGGATATGATAGTGGTTTATAGAAAAAGACATGGAAATGGACAATAAACACAAAAAGGATGTTTAACTTCATTAGTAATAAGCAAAACGCAAATTTTAAAAAACATGAGATACCAATCTTTAAGATTAAAAATGTAAATAAGGATGGAGAAAGTTTGGAGGGAGTATTATATCGTCAGTCCTTTTCAGATGGGCAATTCGGCAGCATTTCCCATGTTTTATAATGTATATGCCATTTTTCCCATTATGCCATTGTTCCTGGAACCAACAACTGAACAATAGTGAGAGAAGAGCCTTATAACCTCAGACAGACAGAAGAATCAGCTTTAGCACAACCTGACTGGTGGGGAGTGTGGTAGAAACTCAAGAAGGCAGGTGGGGCACCCACAGGTGGCTGTACAAGAAAGATATTGAAATGGCCTGTTGGATCTCCCAGGGTCTAAACCACAAGTGGGGATCTCTAGCATATAGCACCAGAACCCAAAAAAGTACACAGATAACAGACAGTTGCGCAAAGCAGCAGGCGGCTGGAGATGCAAAGAGCCGTTTAAAGGGTCAATGCTTAAATTTTTATTTGCAGACACTTACTCTGATCTCTGACAAAGGCAGGGGCATATTCTGGTGCTGACTCATCCCCCAGATGGCAGCAGCCACCTGGCTCAGGCAGACCACTCCCCTGAAAGGCAACACCACGGGAGGACACAATAGCCCTGCACCCAGGAAGGACTAGGCCCTGGCCCGGTAGTGCTAAAGCCCGACTGCTGAGTATAGAGTGGCAGCCATAGATCATAGTTCTCTGGCTAAAGGGGGTGCAGAGTGGTCAAGAGACGCTTGAGGAGAGACTGGAGATGGAGGCTTTAGGGAGAGAAGAGTAGCTGGAGGGATCCCCATGCTGATTCCACCCCCGTACTGCAGCATCCATCTGGCTCAGGCAGACCACTCCCGAGTGGCAGCAGAGTGAGAGGACCAAATAACCTCACCCCCAGGAGGGACTCTGCCTCGCCCTGTAAAGTCTAAGCTGGCCTGCTGAGTGCAGATTGACTAGATTAGAACCTGAAGGAGACAGCCACAAACAGTAGATTCCTGGAAGTCTTGAACAGAATGCCTAAGATCAGACAGGGTCAACATCTGACATCATCAGAGACGGATCCAGAAAGAAAAAACAGTGGTCTCCTCCAATAGAAGTTCACGCCAAAAATTCAGGAAATCAAGACAGATCAATTGAAGAAGCAGAGGCAAAAAAAGAAGAGTCTCACAAATAATGGGAAGACAAAGACACACCCCCCGCCACCTCCCGTTGAAGGGAAAGGAGGAAGCCCGAGAAAGAAAAATCAATGAAATAGAGGCAAGTAAACTATCAGATATTAAGTTCCAAACACCGGTTCTAAGGAAGCTTGATGAGCTCAGAGAGAATTACAGGAAAACTATGAGGAAGTTACTGCAAACTATATCAGCATGAAAAAGGACATAGAAAATATCAATAAGAGACAAGAGGAAATGAAGAATACAATTTCTGAATTGAAGAACACAGCAGAAGGAATCAAAGCAGGCTAAATGAAGCAGAGGATCAAATCAGTGAGCTGGATGACAAGGGAGAAAAGAGCTGCCAGAAAGAGCAAGACAATGAAAAAAAGGCTCAAAAAGAATGAAGAGGCATTGAGGGAAATGCAGGACAGCCTGAAACGTAATAATATCCGTGTAATAGGGATACCAAAAGGAGAAAAAGAGGAGCAAGGGATAGAGAATCTGTTTGAAAAAGTAATGATGGAAAACTTCCCTCATTGGAAGAGAGAAAAAGTCACAGAAGTCCAGGAAGCACAGAGGGTCCCATTCAAGAGGAATCCAATGAGGCCCACTCCAAGACACATCATCATTAAAATGGCAAATATCAAAGACAAACAGAGAATCCTAAAGGCAGCAAGGGAGGAAGAGGGAGTAACATATAAGCGAGCCCCAGTACAGCTGGCAGTTGACTTCTCAACAGAAACTCTGCAAGCCAGAAGGGAGTGGCAAGAAATATTCCAAGTCATGAAAAGCAAAGGCCTGCCACCAAGACTGCTCTACCCAGCAAGGCTCTCAATTAAAATGGAAGGTGAAATAAGGAGTTTCCTAGACAAAAGAAGACTAAAATACCCCTCCACCAAACCAGCACTGCAAAATATGCTAAAGGGGCTGCTTTAAGATGAAGAAAAATAGTCTATAAATACCCAGTTCCTTTCACAGTTACCAATACTTAATATTACCAATATTTTTAATACTTATTAATCTGATTGTGACAATGATGTGTTATTTTAATTGTTACTTTATTATTTGTTGAAACTAAACATGTTTTACTATATTTCTTGCCTATTTCTATTATTTTTTAAAAAAGCTTTAAATGACTTATTGGTATTCTTTATCCACTTATCGATTAAAGGATTGTAGAATTTTTTTTCCCTAAAACGACAACAACGACAACAACAACAATTATTAACCCTTTTTTAGATGTGTGGCAAATAATTTCCTATTCTATTACTTGTCCTTTAACTTTTTGTATATGTATATTACTATATAGTCTTAAATGTTTAATATAGTCATATTGTCAATATTTGACTTTATAGCTTCTGGATTTGAATATTTTACTTCAGGGTAAGTAAAATATTATTTTGCATTTCCTCCTAAAACTCCTTAGATTTTATATATTGATTTTTAACTCACCTGAATATTTTTTGTATACTGTGTGAAATAGGGCTCTCTATTTGTTTTATTTCAAGTAACAGTGGTCCATGCACCTTATTTGTTGAGTAAACCTTATTTCCCCCATTGATCTGGAATATCAGTTTAATCATATATTACATTGTTAGTCAGATATACATATATATATATATATATATATGTTTCCCGATTGCTCATTTTATTTTATTGATCTACTTGATTATTTCTCTGCTGGTGTCATGTTTTAATTGCTGAGACTTTATAATGGATTTAAACTTTTTAATATTTTATAATGGATCTTGACATTTAAAAAAATAAATAAAATCAATCTGCATTGCAAAAAAAAGAAAGAAGGAACTCTTCCCTTTTGTGAGGACATAGATGGAACTGGAGAATATTAGAGTAAGTGAAATAAGCCAGTCGGTGAAAGATAAATACCATATGATCTCACCTATAAGTGGAATCTATTCAACAAAGTAAACTAACGAACAAAATAAACCACAGGCAAGGCAACATGGAGCAGACTGAAAGTGACCAGAGGGGAAGGGGAAGAAGGACAATGGTGGAAAGAAGGAGAAGGGACTAAACAAACATGTATGAATGACCCGTAAACATGGACATCAGAGTGGGAATTGACTGTGCGAGACGGGGCGGGGAGGGAATGGTAGAGGAGGATAAAGGGGGAAAAATTGAGAAAACTGTAATAGAATGAACATAATTTAAAAATAAAAAATTTAAAAAATTAAATGAATGGATAAGTGAAAATGTAAGTTGGAATAATACGTATAATATACCATTTATGATAAATCAATTGTTGTGTGTCTAGGCATATGTAAATACACAGAGAAGTTCTGCAAAGAGACACATCAGATTGATAAACACTGGCTACTTCTGGGAATAGTCACTGTTAAGGGGAGGGGGAAAGAAATTTTCACATTTTATGTTTCAAACTTTATTCCATTGGCATACATGAACAAGGAGCTTATATATATGTATTACTTTATCAATAAAATATCTACTATAATTCCTTAATCCCTTTTTCACTAAAACAGGTTACTTACCCTGCTGACAAAATCCCAATATCCACCTGACTTTTAGGGTTTTCCTCCAGAACAGTGGTTGTCAAAGTGTGACCCTAGAGCAGCAGCATCGCATCACCTGGGAACTTGGTAGAAATGCAGATCTTGGGTCTCACCCCTCAACTACTGATTCAACATCCCTGTGGGAGTGGGGTCCTTCCAGCTGTGTATTAACACCTCCTCCAGGCAATTCTAATGCATTCTCAAGATCAAGCATTGCTTCCAATATCATGAAAGGCATCACAATAGATAGGATGCCCCTGGGAATGCCCTGGAGGCAGTTAGCAAAACTCAACTGGACTTGAGTCCTTAGAAAATAGAGTCAAGGATTGGCCTGAAGAACATAATTATTGGACATTTCTTCTAGAAGAAATCATGAGAAACTGCATGCAACAGAAGTAACCTTGTATCTGTAAACATATAAAGTATAAAGCATTTTGATGCCTACATTGCTGTGAGAGAAAAAAGTTAGCTTCTTCTGCCTGGGTTTAAAATTCCTTGAAATAGGACAGAAGTGTCTTTCTAAAGGATGTAGCTAACCTTCAGGGATAAAGAAATCCCTAGGGGATACAGTCAGTGGGTCCTTCATAGGGAGTGAAAGGACAGTCTGCTCCCCTTAAAGTGAATGAGTAATTAGATGATTCTGGCCTTTATCAATGGAATTAATGAACCTTCAGAGAGGCATCAATTTGTACCTTCATTGTAACCTGGTAACCTTGGAAAGCCTGGAGCCGCTTTTTCTTCTCCTCTTCTTGTCCCATGCTTATCCAAGTGTCTGTAATTAATACATTGCCTCCACGAGCCGCTTCCAATGGATCATTCGTCAGTGACAGTTTGGTATTGTTCTAGAATACACAAGCATGCCAATTATACATGGGACAGATAAAGGCAATAATAACTTTATGTATGGGAACATACCTCCTTGGCATACCGCTCTGCTAACTTGATTACACTGGGATCCGGCTCATAACCCTGAAGGGGGAAGAATTTAACTGTTATTTAGGTAATTTTATTCTATATGCTTTATTACATAAGGATTATATTCTTTTCAACAATATCCCCACTCTTTTCCCTTTTTATACTTTAAGTTGTAACACAACTGTGTTCAGTAGTATATGATATTTACATATTGATCAAACCTTAATAGTGCCTTGGCATTTTAAAATATAACCAATCGCCCCATTTTTATTTTATTGTTTTGACCTCTTTAGTCATAAACTCAACAGAGTAGGGTGCTTTTTAGCTCTTGGTTGCACTGCTTCTTGTTCCTCTAATAGTTTAAGAGGATCATATACATAATTCTATACGACCTTATGCAGTTTTGTCTGAGTCTTTCCACAAGCTGTTTTTTTTTTTTAATGCTCTTTTGTCTGAAATGCTTTTCCACACCCACTCCATGTGGATAACACTTTCAGGTCTCAGCTCAAATATTTCCTACTCAGAAAAACCTTCCATGACCACCCCAGCTAAATACTAACAGCCTACACACACACATTCTTTTACACCCATCAACAAGTGTTCTGAGTGTTGGGCACTTGCTCAGAAATGGCACTTACACAGCAAGCACACTTTTGTTCAAGTATACTTGGAATGGTTTGGTGAGAGAAAGGTTAGGACTTGAGTGAGGCAAGAAAGTTGCCTAGGGCACAAAATCTAAGGAGGCACTCACTGTCAGAATCCTGCAAGTACAAATTTTGCACCATATGGTACCCCGCTTGCACACCTTAGCCTCAGCTCCAGGTGAGAGGACATTATAGGAGCAGCCAAAATGCTCACGCTATTCCAGACCCCACAGGTGGCTCCTCTGCCTCCATCCTCTCCTTCCAATCTGTTCTGTGTATTATAACAAGAATTGTTTTTTTCTGAAGCCTTCAATGTTTACTATTTGTTTCTTAAGTCAAAGCTGATTAAGAGTATCAAGGCTCCCCACTGACACCCCCTGCTTCTGTCTGTTTTAATTCTTCTCAACATCTTGCTGTAGGAAAGCCACTCTTATTGACATCCCTGCACATGTCTTGCCCTTTTCTGTCATCACAGCCTTTTACCCTTGCATACCACCCTCTTTGTCCTCTCCTGGGTGTCTTCAAAAGAACCTGTCAGCTCCTCCTTTGTCAAAACTCTAGCCCAGCTTCACCTCTATACCCTCCATATGGAAGTCTTGTCAGTCCAAACACCATAATTATTCTCATTTTTTCCTTCATGCTTCTCATTTTCCTGAGTTCTTAGCTTTCATTATGAGTTGGTTTTTATAAATTCTCAGTAGGGCATTGTGGTGGATGCTGTCATGTGCCACCCAGATTCCCCTTCATAAATAAAGGACTTATTCCCCCAGCTGCTAGGCATGCTGCTGAAAGATGACTTTCAGCTGTCAGCCTTCTCTGGGCACTGTCTCAGCTTCAGAGAGCTGACACACCCAAGGTCACATACCTTTATAGGGCAACCTACATTCCATGACTGGTTGACAGGAGCGTATGAAAACCACACTCCGTCCTCCCACCTCACAACAACTCTGAATGGCCATCTCAGTCTGGACTTCTCCATAAAGTCAGCAGAAGTGGTTGTTAGGCCTGCATCACACCTTGATTTCTCCCTCTCCTCACTCCAGCTTCCTCCACCTCCCTTACACAGGTGTTAATCCCAAGGGCACACCCTAATAAAAATCCTGCAGGATAAATTCTGTCTCAGAGTCTGCTTCCCAGGAATCTCAACCTGTGAAATGTATGTTCAAGTTTATTTATTTGAAATTGTGTTTATTTGCACATGATTGTCTACCATAATTCCTTCTCTCATTACAAAATTCTTAAGGAGAGAACTATTCAGCCCTGGCTAGGTGGCTCAGTTGGTTGGAGTGTCATCCCATACAAAAAAAGATTGCATGTTCAATTCCTGGTTGTGGGTTTGATCTCCAGTCACGTATAAGAGGCAACCAATTGATGTTTTTCTCTTTTACATAGATGTTTCTCTCTCTCCCTTCCTCTGTCTCTAAAATCAATCAACAGATCCTAGGGTAAGGATTTTTGAAAAAAAACTATTCAGATGTTGATGATGATGGTTATAGACTTTTTAGCAGCTTTACTACCCTTAAAACAGCCATAAATTTTGGAATTTTGTTTATCAGAATTTGGGGGAGGTATTTAATAAAGATTTAATAATTTAGTAACTAATGTAGTGCACGTTCATACTGGTAAACGTAAATGAAGAGACTTGGCTATAACCTCATGTGCCTCCTGCCCTGAAAATTTAGCCTTCCCTTTGAAGAGCAGGTTTTTGTACTCCCTAAGTATAATCATTCTTAGAGAAGGAATCAATAAGTACCTAGAGAACCAACGGAGAGGTTTGGAAATTAGAAAATCACCCAACCTTGCATGCACTGGGCCATGACTGAGAATACAAAGTGGAATTCTTTATTCACAGCTCAGCTTTCAATACTAAATCACTCATTGGCTTTTACATAAATGTTAAAACCAGAGGAGGAAGATGATTAACAAACCCCGTTCGGTCTAAATATTCACTTAGAATGATGTTAAAATCATTACCATCAATAGTTTATGGAGCAATTTTACAATCAAGGACAAAATTATGTTTTCTTGAACATGTAAGTTATTCTTGGTTGAAGAATGGGGAAATAGATTAATTATGGCCTTGGAAACTTTTTAGTGCTTCTTAAATTTACAATAAATCTCCTAGCTCTATCTTCAAAGGAAATAGGTCTACTTATAAATTGGTAGAACAACTTCTACACTATCAGACTTTCCAGAAGACATTTTAAAACTCTTACTCCCACCAAGAATTAACCGGGTTTTAGTACACTTTATCATTTAAATGAGTTTCTGCATAAGAACAATACTGAAATTACTTTTTAACATTGGATTTTTTTTCTTTTGATGCTAATAAAACACCTCTGACATGCAATAAAATGTTTAAATCTATTTCTCCACCAGAATAAATCATTTCTAAAACATCTTATAGCAAGGAACAATTATTGTTAATATATGTTTTATCTGTAAAAACTAAATGTGGTAATAGTTCACATTAATACATTTCCTCAAACTAGATTTGTAGTAAGAGTGCTAATTCTTCCCGTAAAGTGAAGAAGCACCACCTTACGCACATGTGAAATCTGACCCTTTATTTCAGTGCATGCTGAACAGAAGAGAATTATCTGCTGTAAGAGTTATCTCTCTGAGTCCCCAAAGTTTACTATAATAGGGTGACTGCTTTTTCTTCTATGGCAAGTGTATTAGGCAGAATAGTGTCCTCCAAATAGTTCATTCCTACCCAAAATCTCAGGATGTGACCTTATTTAGAAGTAAGGTCTTTGTCATTAGTTAAGATGAGGTCATACTGGATCAGGGTGGGACTGAATGTAATATGTCTTCATAAAAGAGGGTCATTTGTAAAGAGAAACATAGACAAAAAGGGAAGGAGATAGAGGCAGAGGTTGAAGTGATGCAACCACAAACCAAGGAATACTTGGAGCCACCAGAAGTAGAAAGCGACAAGGAAGGATCCTGCCCTAGAGGCTTCAAAAAGAGTGTGGCCCTGCCAGCACCTTGATTTTGGACTTCTAGTCCCTAGAATAAACAGTGAAACAATAAATTTCTATTGTTTTAAGCCACCAACGTTGTGATAATTTGTTAGCCCCTGCAAATTAAGGCAGCAGGGTGCACTGACTCAAACTGATCCAGCAAAAACACTAGGGAAAAGCATTTTGTTTAGTGTTGTTTTGTTTTTGCAGAATTAAAAGACAATGCCGACGCTCTACCCAGATGCCAATCAGAAGGTCCTTTTTTATAGCCCTTGCTCCCTGTCCCCATTTCAGTGTGCTTTTCACACAGAACCCTACTGTTCTTCAGAAAATGGCCCTCTCACTACCAGCTGCTTTTCTTGTCAAAAGTGCCAGATTTGTCACCCCTTGTCCCCTTGCTACCCTTGACCAAGGACTGGTTCAAAGGATGAAAGCCCACCTTCCTTTCCCCAGGCTGGAATAGCTCTGGGGTATAACTTACACTCCAGAGCGCCTGTGGGATCAAGCTGAAGTTCCCTTTTGTGAGGCCGTGCCTGACATGGCACTAGGGTGACCAAATTATCCTGGTTTGCTTGGGACTCTCCCAGTTTTAGAGCTGATAGTCCCATATCCCCAGAAATCCCTAGTCTTGAGCAAACCAAGCTGGTTGGTCACTGTTAATGGAATTATTGCTTAGACTCTTCCCTTTCTCTGTTCTGATACCCCTATTCCCCTACAGGTTTCCCTTAGGAGTACTTCCTTAATAAATCACTTGTATATGAATCTTCATGGGGATCTCCTTGTGGAGAGCTTGGCCCAAGACATTGGTAGAGGGTGGGGGTGAAGACTGAATGCTTGAACTAATGCAAGGACTGGAATATTTCCTGTTGGAGAAATTCAGCTATTAATCTACCTTGTGAAATTCAAGTTCCTGGTGATTGACAAATAAACAAAAGTCAAGAAACAAAAGCTGGGAGGAATTTTTAGTCCTCAAATATTTACTTCTGGATGTCTTAGCTTATCAGAGTGAACCACTGCAGTGACTATTAACAGCAAACACATGCTTGATTAGAAACACACTGGTGCACAATAATTGTGAGTAGACATCATTAATGACAGGTTCAATTTTATCTTTTACTTTGTTTCTGAAATGGTTTCTATTGAGGGGAAGTTTCCTTTCAAAAGACTCCTGATAGAATATTAGTATTCAGTGAAAAACATAATGGGGAAAACAATTCAGCAGAGATGGGATTTTTTGTTTAAACATTCTGTGGGAATCCTTCAGGACTGCTTTGTGTACGCATCTCCTGTAGAGTTAATTTTTATCCTCTAAAAGGCCTATTTAGCTCTGGCTGGTGTGATTCAGTGGATTGAGTGCTGAACCTGCAAACCAAAGGGTCACCAGTTCAATTCCCAGTCAGAGCACATGCCTGGGTTGCAGGCCAGGTCCCCTGTGGGGGCGCGTGAGAGGGAACCACACATTGATGTTTCTCTCCATCTCTTAATCCCTCCCTTCCTCTCTCTCTCTCTCTCTCTCTCTCTCTTTTTTAAGTGCTAATATAGACTTTTTTATGACAGGAATCTTCATGTCTTAATTAATCAATTACAAAGTAAATTACAGACAATTACAAAGTAAAACCACAGAGAGAAATACTATTATATACATATTGGTTCTAATGTGTTTAAAAATTGACAATACCAAGTGCTGGTGAGGCTAGGAAGGAAGGAAAAGTATTATCCATTGCTAGTAGGAGTAAATATTTGTCTATTTTTGGTAATATTGCAAAAGATGTTTGTATTACTTAGAAAAGCAGAATGTTTTTACGGTAAACCACCCAGAGATTCTACCCTGAAGTATACATCTTAGAAACACTCTTGCATACATACACCAGAGAATGCTCAAAATGTTCATTGGAACATGATTTATATCTCTCTTAAAATAAAAATAAATATAAAAAATAAAACGCCTATTTATTTTGAATGAGGCTGTGGGTTATTTTAATCTAAGGTTGTCCTAGGGGAATCTGCATTTTTTATTTTGGTATGTTTATTTATGCTTTTATGTTATTATGGAGGTAAAACATTTACATATTAAGAAATTCAAAACATATAAAAGAATATACCATGAAAATAAAGTCTTTCTCCTACCTCTCTTCTTGAACTTCCCAGTTCCCCTTCTCAGAGCAACAACTATAGTATATTACCAGGTCATTATTTCTCAGAAGGGTCATTTTAGGCCTCTGAAAGAAGTACTGCTTCCTGAGCATTCTATGAGAGATTAACAGCAATGTAAGAAGTATATGGGGGTCAGGTTCACAGCCATGTGGGACTGAGACTTTAAAAGCTTATGAGTCCCTCAAGTTGAGTTTGAAGCACTAAGCTGGTGCAAGTGCCATCATGGTGACTTTCATGTTAGATTAACATTTTTCTTTTTATGTTTTTAAAGATTTTACTCATTTATTTCTAGAGAGAGGGGAAGGGATGGAGAAAGGGAGAGAGAGAAACATCAATGTGTGGTTGCCTCCTGTGTACCCTCCACTGGGGACCTGGCCCACAACCCAGGCATGTGCCCTGACTGGGAATCCAACCAGCAACCCTTTGGTTCACAGGGTGGCACTCAATCCACTGAGCCACACCAACCAGGTCTAGATTGGCATTTTTCTATCAAACTCCAGTATAGTAGTCCTCCATTATATGCAGTTTTCCGTGTCAAAGTTTCAGTTACCCACAGGCAACTGTTGTTCAAAAATACCAAGTGGAAAATTCCAGAAATAAATGACTGATATGTTTTCAATTGTGTGCCATTGTGAACAGTGTGATGAAATGTCACACCATCCTTCTCATCCCATCCAGGATGTGAATCATCCCTTTGTCTAGCATATCCATGTTGTGTACACTGCCTGTCCTTACTCACTTTATAGCTGTTTCGGTTACCAGATCAACTGTTGAGGTTTGCAGTGCTTATGTTCAACTTTGAGGTTTGTAGTCCTTATTTTACTTAATAATGTCTCATTCACCTCACTTCATCTCACCATGTAGGCATTTTACTATCTCACACTATCATAAGAAGGGGGAGTGCAGTACAATAACATATTTACAGAGAGGCCATAGTCACGTAATTTTTATTAGTGTGTTATAATTGTTCTATTCTATTATTAGTTATTATTATTAATCTCTTACCAGGCCTAATTTATAAGTTAAACTTTATCATAGGTATGTATGAATAGGAAAAAATAGTGTATATAGAGTTTGGTATTCTCTGCAGTGTCAAGCATCTACTGGGGGTCTTGGAATGTATTCCCCATGATAAGGGGGGATGACTCTATTAAAAAAATGATGGCATTCACCCTGTGCCTTGTGAGTTCTATGCTGTCTGGATTTTACTGCTTTCTTCAGCCTTTGTGGTACCAGTGCACAAGGATGCCAGTCATCACAATAGCTGGTTTCAGGGCATTCGAGGTGATAATTCAGACATGCTTTTACACAGACTCATAGGATGAAAGGTATCAGCCACAACTATTTCGTAGAGGTGAAAAAGTAGGCACTCAAGAGCCCAAATAGCTATAACAGTAGGGCTGATAACATAACCTAAATTTTGTGACCTCACCTCTGCTCTTGAATGGAAGACAGGTTTGTTTTTACTGGGTAACTGCATCTGGGGATGATTTAAAGGGGGGTAGTTTCAAGGCAAAAAGTTTCCCTACCTTTGGAGTAGCTGCCTGAATGTGCATTCCGAATTTTGCTGCACTCATCATGATGGAGTGCAAGATGTTGTTCCCATCCCCAATCCAGCTGAGGGTAAGGCCTTTCAGAGAGCCATAGTGTTCCTAAAAGGCAAGAGTGGAGATTATATACGGGAGGGAATCCACTTATGTGAAACAATTATTAGGATTACAATAAAAGAAACGATCTTCATTCCAATTTTAAGGCTTTGTTGGAATGATTCAACTCTTTTTTTGCATTATACAGAGCAATTAAATAACATGAATGTACAACTATAAAAAATAGCAAAATGTCCTAATATCTTAAACCAAGATATCATATGAACTCATATGAACACTTGTATTTTCAAACTTTTCAAATGTTAATCTTTATTGTATTAATTAATTAATTCATTCATTCATTCAACAAATTAAGTACCATCCATGTCCACTTTCCTTGGCCCTGGAGATACAACAATGGACAAAAGAGAAAATAAATCCCTGCCTTTATGGACATTACATTTCTTAGGATAAGAAAGGAGAAATACAATGTACCTAGAACAGTGTGGCATGGTAGATGAGTATGTTCCCAAGTATGTAAAGTTGAAAAACATGCCAATTAATACTCTGAGCAGTTTACAGATATAGGGATGTGTAGCTAAAGTACAAACACATGCCTGGGAATTATAAATATAGACATCAGGATAATAATTTCCTTGTGGGGTGGGAAGAAATGAGATCAGGGAGAGTCACATAGTGAGCTTCAATTCTATCTGTAATATTTTTTTCAAAAACAAACAAAAAAAATCCTGAAGTAAGATTTGACAAAACTGTATGGTGGGCATGTGAGTATTTGTTTTGTTTTTCATGAAGTATCTGTAGGTTTTATATATTTTTATGTTTATAAAAATAAGATAAAAAAAAGATAAAGCCTAAGCAATCTAGGGATCACAGGACTAGGTAGCTAAGCTAGGATTTAAATCCAGGTCCACCTGATTTAGATTCCATGCTCTTAATAAGTTCTTATTTAGTCATTCAACTCTCACTTTGAGGATATCCTATATGAAGACATTGCACCAGGTCCTGCAGGGGACAATGTGATGAATAGGATATTTCACTGTGCTTCGATCAATTTATAATCTAGTAATGATAAAGCCCCAGAGCAAAACATTAAATTATCTGGCACATATGTAAAAGCCACATCCACAAATAGCCACTTGGTATCTAACACCATTGTATCATCCTCTCTGCGTGAATCTTATCCTCATCACCAAGTTTTATTTTGAGTTTAACCTCACATTTATATGTGTACAGCATATTCAAATGAGGCATAATATAGACCTATCCAGTTTTCCCTGTCTAACCAGAATAGACACAGAAATCATGGTTTTCAAGATTCCCAGGGGCAAAACTACATAGATTGGCTGTGGCAAAACAAACAAGATAAATCTTTCAAAGTTAGTTATTCAAGTTCCTAATTTGGCATACATGGCTAAATCTGAGCCTCAATGCTATGTATTTTGCATGTTTTTAACTCCAGTTTTAAACAATCAGTTTATTAACAGAAAATAGCCTTCTTCTCAGAAGGTAATTTCATAATTGACCATTTTGAATATGCAAAGTACACTCCACCAGTCTTCACAAGCCACAGAACCCAATATATGGAGGATTACATGAAGCTTTTCCATTCTGTATATTCCATCATTCCCATTCATCCATTTGTGTTCTGGCACCAAATATGGCGCCAAAAAGCAAAAGGATTGAGAGAACAGGGGATGAGAGAGGGACTAAAAGAGGTTGGGAATCAGGTTGAAAATAAAAGGCTCTTATAATATGCCCTGTTCCTTGAATATCTAGTATACAAACATATGCTATAATTCTTTGCCAAGATAATATTTAAAAACAAAACACCAATACCATCATTAAAGCAGTTCCATTTAGAGCTACTCAAGAACTATTTATTGATTTTCATCTTGTGTAAGGCAAGGAAATAAGCCAACCTGGAGCGTAAGGTAATCAGCCAGGATCTGGATAGGATGGTACAAATCTGACAGCCCATTGACGATGGGGATGGATGCTTCTTTAGCCAGGATGTCCAGATCTGATTGTTTATATACTCGAGCCAACACTGCATCTGTCATGCTAGATAACACACTGCAGCAATTCAAGACAAGATAATCTAAGTTAATTATGCTTAATAACTCCTTCTTTAATACAGAATTTAAACAGTAATAAGAAGTACTGATAAATTATGATTTTCAGTAAGTTACAACTACCTATCAACACAACAGATTTAAAAGCTAATATTAAATATGTTGTCATTACAGAAGCTAGATATTGTTCCCCTGACATCCTAAACAATGACGACTGCTTTTACTATTTTTTTACAGAGATAAGAAATCAATTGTGGGCCTCGCAGCCATAATGATGAATTATAATTAATAAGTAGCAGTTGGTGAAAGGGACAAAACCAAAAACAAGATAATATTACGAGAAATATTAATGACCGGGCATGTAGCTAATTTTCTTTTGTAACGTCCCACAGACCAATGTACATTTTCACTATAAAATTCAAAGTACCAGGGTGGCAGCCATGGAGATGCACATACATTGCCTTATAAGAGAGAACCTTCTGGGAGGAGTGCTGTTGACTCGAAGTCCCCAGCTGCTGTACCTTCAGAATCCACTTCAGCATTCCTACCAAGGCCCCACTCTCCTCAGGCTGTTCCCACCAATGACTGAGAAATGTGGGGGCACCAGAGCTGGGCCATTCTGCCTGACACGGGATTTTTCAGCTGGGCAGTCTGGTGGGGCTCTTCATCAGCCGGGCTGAGAATTTCTGAGGTGCACTGTGTCTGAGGTTCTTTCTATCCCACTTCTTCCTTTCTCCTCTCCTTTCACTGGGGTCAGACCCGCATCACCATCTGAAGGTTCTCCCTGCCTACTGCCGCTTCCTCTCTCCTTAATCTTTACAGTTGTTTCCCCAAATATATTTCTTGCATGTCTAATTCCATCCAGTGACACAGCCAGCAATGAACTCTTGCAGGGACTGAGTCTGAGAAGGCATCAGCCCCTTTCCCTGCACTCTGCATAGCTATCAGTGTCTCTGCAAAAGACAGAAAGACAGAACATCATACAACTCACTCTCTCTCTCTCTCTCTCTCTCCCCCCCCCAAGAAAGCAACACAAATAAAATCATGGCCACAAATTCAAACAATTCATAGAGAGATGGATATTATTGTTCTCATTTTATAGCTGAAGGACCTGAGACACAAAGAGCTTAAGTAACTTGCCCTGAATCACAGCTAATTAAGTTGGAGGAGCTCATATTCAAATCAGCTTAACTCAAAAGTCCATGTTCTTACCATTACAACACATGGCCTCAAATTTTCAGATGATAAAAATCTGAAAGGGGAGCCTAAAATCCAGATTTTAAATTCTCTTCATGAGTCAGAATAATGGTGGTCCCTCAGCTAAAGTTTCAACCTTACAAAAATAGCAAGAGTGTCCTTTTGTTTAAAACCTTTGTTTCTTATCACTTAAAGGAAACCTTCACAACAGAGGCTTTAATCATTTTAGTTTTAAGGAAATATTCTTTTTATTTTTTATTTTTCCTTTATTTTTACTGACAGTATTGCAGATGCCCCCATTACCCCTGCCCCTTTGCCCACCTCCTCCCAGCCTCCGCCCCTCTTTCTCACAGGCCATCACCACACTGTTATCTGTGTCCATGGGTTATATATATAAATGTTCTTTGAATAATCTGGCAAAAGATTTTGGAAATTCTCTCATGATAGTTGTATTAAATATAGAGTCATGATTATAAGGTATCCAGTAGTCTTGGGTTCTAAATCTGGCTCTATAACTGACTAGCTGTGTGACCTTGGACATATTATTTAATTTGTCTATGACTTAGTTTCTTCATCTATAAAACCATAATAACAATATCTATCCCACTGGGTTATTGTTAAAGTGACCTGAAATAACTTGTATAAAATGCATAGTATGATGCCTTATTCATAGTAAGAGATAAAAATAGTAGATAATATTACTGTGTCAAAAGAAAATGAAAAAATAAAAGTATTATTTAGTAAGTTCTTCATAAGTTTGTATTTTAATTATCATATACAGGGTGGGGCAAAAGTAGGGTTACAGTTGTGAGTATGCAAAACATAATTTATTTTGTATTATTATATATTAATTATTGTATTATTTTCCATTCAAACAACTGTACACCTACTTTTGCCCTGCCCTGTATATTTTGAAAAATTAGTCCCTCTTATATGTCTGAGACATGTTATTTACTTGTCTGTATAAAACTGTTCGTACTTATAAAATTCAAGGACCACTAAAAAACTTGTTGCTCCACAGGATCAGAGAATCAAAGATTAAAAACTACATGCTTTTTTTTTATTGTTCAAATACATTTGTCTCCATTTTCCCACCACCACCTTCCCCTGCCCTCCTTCCCCCTCCCTTCCCCCCCCAATCCTTTTCCACGTTGGCTTTGTCCATGGGTCCTTTATACAAGTTCCTTGACTTGACCCTTCCCTTCCCTTTCCCTGCCACGCCCCCTCCCTCCTTCCCTCTGGATTCTGTTGGTTTCTTTTTTCTTTCAATGTTGCTGGTTATATTTTCCTTGCTTGTTTGTTTTGTTGGTTAGGCTCCACTTATAGGTGAGATCATATGGTATTTGTCTTTTGTCCCCTGGCTGATTTCACTTAGCATAATGCTCTCCAGTTCCATCCATGCTGTTGCAAAGGGTAGAAGCTCTTTCTTCCTTTCTGCTGCATAGTATTCCACTGTGTAAATGTACAATAGTTTTTTGATCCCCTCATTTATTGATGGGCACTTAGATTGCTTCCAGGACTTGGTGATTGTAAATTGTGTTGCTATGAACACTAGGGTGCATAGGTTCATATGAATTGGTGTTTTGGGATTCTTAGGGTATAATCCCAGCAGTGGAATCGCTGGGTCAAAAGGCAGTTCCATTTTTAGGTTTTGAGGAAATTCCACACTGTTTTCCATAGTGGCTGCACCAGTCTGCATTCCCACAAACAGTGTACTAGGGTTCCCTTCTCTCCACAGCGCCGCCAGCACCTGTTGTTTGTTGATCTGTTTATGATGGCCATTCCGACTGGTGTGAAGTGGTATCTCATTGTGGTTTTAATTTGCATTTCTCTGATGGCTAGTGATGCTGAGCATCCTTTCATAGTTTTCTGAGCCCTCTGTATCTCTTCCTTGGAAAAGTGTCTGTTCAGGTCCTTCGCCCATTTTTTAATTGGGTTGTTTGTCTTCTTGGAGTGGAGTCGTGTGAGTTTTCTATATATTTTGGAGATCAAACCCCTATCTGATGATCATTGGCAAATATATTTTCCCATATGGTTGGCTCCCTTTTCATTTTGCTGATGTTTTCTTTAGCCATGCAGAAGCTTCTTGTTTTGATGAAGTCCCACTTGTTTATTCTTTCCTTTATGCCCCTTGCTTTAGGGAACGTATTGATGAAAATATTGCTGCATGAGATATCTGAGAGTTTCCTGCCTATGTTCTCCTCTAGGACTTTTATGATGTTGCGACTTATATTTAAGCCTTTTGTTCATCTTGAGTTTATTTTTGTGTATGGTGCAACTGATGATCGAATTTCAATTTTTCGCATGTAGCTGTCCAGCTCTCCCAACGCCATTTGTTGAAGAGGCTATTTTTACTCCATTTTATTCTTCTGCCCCATTTGTCAAATACTGATTTACCACAGAGACATGGGTTTTCCTTCTGGGCTCTATATTCTGTTCCATTGATCTATGTGTCTGTTCTTGTGCCAGGACCAGACTGTTTTGATTACAGTGGCCTTGCAATACCTTTTTATGTCTGGTATTGTGATCCCTCCTGCTTTCTTTGTCTTTCTCAAAATTGCTGCAGCTATTCAGGGTCATTTATGGTTCCATATAAATTTTTGAAATTAAAAACTATATTCTTATAATATTTCATAGACTCATATTTTTTTTTCAAATTTTCATTGATTTCTCATGCCCATGTTTCCCAGATTTTCAGATTTCATGGATCAGCAAAGTTTTCAAAATCATATGAAGGTCAACATAAAATTCCTACCTTTTTGTTTAGTAAATTAAGAGTATGAGAAGCAAGTACATAAATACATATAATATGTTAGTATCTCCACTTCATAAAAGGACATTCTGACTCATAAAAATGTGTTGACCTAATCTCAAAGAATGATCCTTGCAATTGAATTAATTTAGCTTTATAAAATTCATTGTATTGTCTTTATTTTTCTTATTTGACCATTCCTGATGGAAACTTTCCATTACAGTGTATATCTGTGGAGGGGTCAGGATTTGGGAACCAGTATTCCTAACTGTCTAAGAACATTATATATTAAAGCATGAAAGAGGTGACTCAAAGAGCCAATTTATAGTTTCTCTTGCAAAACAAGTGATGTTTAATGGTTGACTAAGACAGGGGTTTTCAAATTTTGCTGTACAGGAAAGTTACTTCAAAAGTTTTTAACACTGTAATATATTTTTCCTGTTTTTAAAACTCTTGATGCCAAGGACATAATCTCTATCAATTACATCAGAAAAATAGACTTTCTAGGGGCGGGCCCTAGGGATCAGTGTTTTTAAAAACTTTCCAGGAGATTCCTATGTGCAGCCAAGGTTGAAAACCAAAGCAAGCACCTCACTCCTCAGATCAACAGCCATCAGCGCCACCTGGGAGCCTGCTAGAACTATAGAATCACAGGCCCCACCAATCAGAATCAGGATCAGAATCTGCATTTTAACATGGTTTTCAGTTTATTCATTTGTACATTAAAGTTCGAAACTTCCAATAAAGAGGGAATCCAAGCCACCATATTTTTTAAAGTACCATCCATTTTTTTCTTAGAACTCTAACCAGCACCTGCCCCTCAAGTATCAAGTGATGAGAGCCCAGAAAGACAGAAGATTTTGTCCATAATCTCATTGGCAGTCAATGCTTTCCAGTTCAATTGAACAAACAGGCATCTCAAATCCCAAAAAATGAATAATCCACTCCCTTCCATTAAGGCCCCCCTCTTAGAGTAATCAGCTACCCTGGCCTATGGATGCCCCAAGGCAATGGTTTCCAACATTTCAGGCCAGGTCCCTAGTTGGGGGTGT